CAAAATAACAAGAAATGTAATAAAATAAAAGCAATAACTTTGTAAAAGAATTAATTTGAAATCATTTTTATGTTTCATTGTGATGTTTGTCTATTCCTATTGTGCAATCAATTTCATGTGTTATGTATGAAGTAAAAAAAATTGAAAAAAAAGATTAATAGATGTCATTTTCTGTCCAAGTGTATGTAATGTATCAATGTTGTTCATGAGATGTTTATTAATGTTGAGAGAATTAAAGTGAATAATCCAAACTGGGTTTACTTTTTTTATTTTCACATCTCAAATATTGATGAAATTTTTGAAACCTTGTTATCAAATATGCAATAATTGTAAATGCTACCCTGCAGGCCTGTAAAACGCAAGCCGACCCCCATTTTTTCTAAGTATAGTATTCTGCTATAAATTTTCATTTAGATACCCCCCCCCCCCTCCACACACACACTTTTTGTTGCTGTAGGGTGGAGCATTTGCAAATTCCAGGATTTAAATGGTGTTCAATTTTCTCTTTTATCTTATTTTTTCTTTGCTTGTCAGAGTATTTTTGGGAAGTGCCCCCCCCCCCCCCTTATTGGACAGTTTAAAATTTTTTGTCAGATTTTTTTGGGGGGATACACTATGTTCTATGTACGAACAGTTTCTAAAACGAAGCAGACCATCTAGAGTTTGACTCGTTTTTTTTTTTCTTGCAAATACTTGATCTAGAAATGTTCTCATGTTTTTTTTCTCTTGAATTTCATGCTTAAATTATTAGTCTTTGAATACCCTGACAAAGAATCACTTTAGATAATTATAGTTTACTATTATAATAGTTAACTATTGTTAAATATAGTTAATACGTGATACTATGATTTACTATCATGGCCGTAGGAACCCCAATAATTTTGCCGATATATAGATTACTATAGTAAACATAGATAATGTGTGCTTGTGCCCCCTCAATAAAAACGTCTGATGACCTTTTTTTTTTTTTTTTTTTGCTTGTCAGGAAATTTTTGGTAGTGCCCCCTCAACGTCAACTGAAAAATGTATGGCTGTGCCCCCCCCCCCCCCAAACTGAAATTGCTTCCTACGGGCCTATGAACCTCTACTTATAACTCTTCTAAGATTTTGTGCTAAAAATCTCTTAAATTCAATAGCAATGATGTAAAATTTGAAAATAATATGTAAACATGCATGTAATGTTACCATTTATCATAAAAAAAATGAAGCTATGAATTGTAGAACATAAAATATAACAATCTGAAATTCATCCTGAAAAAAATTGATTTACTATAGTAAAAACTTTGATTTACTGTAGTAAAAACTTTTATTTACTGTAGTAAAAACTTTGATTTACTGTAGTAAAAACTTTGATTTACTGTAGTAAAAACTTTTATTTACTATAGTAAAAACTTTGATTTACTGTAGTAAAAACTTTGATTTACTATAGTAAAAACTTTGATTTACTATAGTAAAAACTTTGATTTACTGTAGTAAAAACTTTGATTTATTATAGTAAAAACTTTGATTTACTATAGTAAAAACTTTGATTTACTGTAGTTAAAACTTTGATTTACTGTAGTAAAAACTTTGATTTACTGTAGTAAAAACTTTGATTTAGTGTAGTAATAACTTTGATTTAGTGTAGTAAAAACTTTGATTTACTGTAGTAAAAACTTTGATTCACTGTAGTAAAAACTTTGATTTACTGTAGTCAAAACTTTGATTTACTGTAGTCAACACTTTGATTTACTGTAGTAAAAACTTTGATTTACTATAGTAAAAACTTTGATTTACTATAGTAACAAGAATAGATATGGGTTACCCCATATCCAAGATATTCGGCTTTTAATTTATTCGAATTTTCATTGTGCTCAGATGATTTCTAATTAAAAAAAAAAACTATTTACTGATAAAACGTCAGAGATACTCAAGCTGTAGAAAGTCAACTATACAATGGCCATAAATATCCTAAAATGACATAATATTTAGGCTACTGAGTTTCAACATCTTTTGTTGAATAAAATATGCATGTACTAAGGAAACTGCATGTACATATATAACGTTACATGCGTGTAGTGACTTTTATTATCACAACGTTGCAGATGCCTAAAAAAATAGTTTTAATTTCACATAGAACATAGACTAAATATAATTAACCGTATAATTTTAAAGATGTATTTAACAGCTCACTCATTTTCAGGAATATTTAATCCAAATAGCATGTTACAGGCCTGTAGCAACGTTTTCAAAGTGAGGGGGGGGGGGCTCCAAAATAATCCCGCGTACTATGGGCCTGTGCTACATGTGTACCATCTAACTTTCCAATGATAGAATCTTCTGTAAAAATTCGAAACAAGTCCAAGCAAAGATCAAAGATAGCCCATTTTTTTAAATAGCAAAACTATAGATCTATCAAGGATAGATTTTAATTTATTTTTTAATTTTGTGCTATTAAAGTACTATTACTCAAAGTATAGGCATATGTTAAAGATGGGTCAACAAGAGTAATCAATGAACTCGTCTAGAGATGCATTGACGGCCCTTGTTAAACGCAAAGGAAAGCGCAAGATCGGTTGGGGCTGTGAACATTCCTTCGTCATGGAATAAAATCCGACATTTAACACTTTATATAGATTTTGAATATAGAGACGTTTTGAAGATAAACTTCATTTTTGTTTCTAGAAATGTTTTTAATTACAAAAATAGTATATTTTCGTGTTTTTAAACTGAGTAGATCAATGACCTAGCATCGTTTTAGATAACTCAGTCCCTCTAGCCCAGTCTAGGGCTTGAGTAAAAAACCTGCACTTGTTATGAAACTGGTGTATAGTTCCTCTTCATGTCCGTAGCAAATACTGATACCCAGTCTACATGATCTAAGCGTCACTAGCGAACGGTGCACATACCTGTGCTTGCAAGACCAAATAGACTAGGTTTACACACGTGCGAAGATCCTTTCCGACGAGCTCGGCAAATCACGTTGCTTTGCCGAGAAGTTACGATTGCAGGTGTTTAACCATAATAACCATTCCATTATTTAAAAAAAGAGAAGAAAAAAAAACACACACAGTTAATGATTAACATTCTCACTCAAAAGAAAATATACGGCAATTAACGAACAATAATCATGACAGTTATATAATTGGTGAAAAGATTTATCACTATCAATCGAAGGATGACCTATATATTTTCGTGAAAAAGACTGAGGAGGCAGAGAGCGTAGGAATATGAAAACTTTTTATTTCCTTTTCTGGGGAAAAGTGATTTTCTTAAAATCTTTTTACGTTAATTTTGTTTTCTTTAACGTATTAAATATACATCATTATTCTTAACATTTGTTGTAATGTTGTATCTACTAATCATGAATGGAACTATTTTCTTCGGAGCAATTGTGTGAAGAGTACCTGACTTTAGTAATATATCTTGAATAGATAATATGCACTGATCGAATATATTAAAAACTTTGATTTACTGTAGTAAAAACTTTGATATACTATAGTAAAAACTTTGATTTACTATAGTTAACTATAGTTTACCATACTAAACTGTAGCTAACTACAAATGTATGACATTTTTGCTAGGGTAAAAGGAGCGTAGGTTAGGCTATTGTACTGTCTCACTGCTGGGTATATGAATAGGCTGGATGCTAGTGTATTACTGTGAGTGTGTAAATAAGGGACAATGTTTCTTTAGGGTTCAAAGATTTTTTTAAGTCAGATAAATAATCAGTTAGTGTTGAGTAGTCTCCTTATATATCTCCTTAGATATAAATCGGTACTCGGAGGGAATGTTTTCTCTAAACTATGCAACAGTATCTCGTTATATAAGTATTCATTATAGAAACAATCCATGAAACAATATCAATTTAAAAAAAAAAAAAACACTTCACTCTGAAATATCCTCAAAACTAGTGGGAACAACTTGCTTAAGTTGGGACTTCTAATATCTGCTGAGGTTTTAAAGAATATTTTTTTCATGCATGTAGCAGTAGTTCTTTGTGGATTCACCTAACCAATTAGCCATGACATTGTGTATCATTAACATTTTAGAGCAGAAATTGGGAATAATAAAGAGGTGCATGTTTCATTTTCTTGGATTTACATGTACCTTACGGCAGGCTTTGGGATATACAGACACCACCTCGGTAAACAGTAGTCCAACAGCTAGTAGTACTAAATGTGAATGATTTACAATAAACATGATAAAGTTTATAAATACAAGATTTTTTTAATGTGTTATTTGTGAATATAATTAAAATAGCTTATTTTATTGGATATTTCACCTCCTCTTTGACGGAGACACACATAAACAGTTACTGAAATGCCCGTATCTCGATCATGGATACTTCAAATCCCATGAATATGTCTTTAGAAGTCACTTGCAAGTTCCAACCACTCATTCTTTATGTATTCTAACCTGGTTATCTTGAATCTTCAGATTTCTGTCGATTTTTCTTGCTCCCATCGAGTTCGTGATAACGAAGTTTGACTGTAAACCCCACACCCCACCCCCGCTCCGGAATAATATCTTTGACAGGATTTATCTAGATTTTTTACGTTAAAAAGAATAAGGAATACAACTTTTTTGTTATAAGGTACATTTACAAAATATTGAAATTTCAAAAAAAAATCCAACATTTAAAATATCTTAAGACAGAGTTATGTCTTATCTCGAACTCATAGATTTCGCTATCTGTCAACAATTTCTATCACTTACTACGGCAGTGTCGGAAGTATTGTGCCACTACATAACCACAGACCTGTAGTATCTCTTGATAACTTTTGTCCATTCACAGACTTTACCTAGTAACATCAAAAACACGTATGAATATGTACCATTGATTTTCCTTAGAGAATTTGAGAATTGTTAAATTTATGCAATTTTTTTTAACAAATAGTTTATGCGTTTAAGATATAGACAAGAAAAATAACATGAGCTAGAATCATGTCAAAATTACTGTACAGGTCAAAACTTATCTGGAAATTAACTAGGTGAACGTAGCTCCTTTAGAATCAGGAATGTTCCATTATTCTTTTATCCTGAGCGTTCTCATAATTGGAACACATTCTTTGTTTTTAACTAACGACAGACCTCATCATGCATCCTGCAAAGTTGACTGGTAATGTCTTTTCTTCCCTTTATCTTGTTTGTCAATGCTAGTACTTTTAGTAGTATTAACATGATTAAGTCGATAGCACATGTAAATGCATGAAAAACTTTGTTTAAATATTAAAACATTTATGTCAAAAACCGTTTATTTACAAATTATCTTTGCAAACTGGAGACGTTGTTGTCAAATTCCCAATAAAAAATGAGTTTGATGACATTGTCAAGGAAACAAAACTGTTATTGGCTTTACAATTCAGATTATAATCTGTCATCTAACACAGGGTTCAGATATTGGTTAATGATTACATTTTGATGATTGCAATGTATCCATTAGTTAATTTGTAGTAAATGCGGTTGAATATTTTCGTCTCAGTTGGAAGGAAGAGGGCCGAGGTTAAGTTAGAAAACTTAAAGGATTTATACCTCGATGTTATGTAAGGAGGTTGAACTACATCATTATAGGTTCTTGATTTTTGATAAACATATTTTTGTATAAACCTAATTCACTTTAATAGGTTCTTTGGATTAGAGTGTAGTGACGTACAAATAAGGCTGAAATCTCAGATACAACAATGGTCCGCTTCTGAGAACTGCCATAATGATAAATGCAATTATCAGGCAAGTATAAATTGCTTTACAAGGTCTCCATAGGTCCCTTGTAAACATTATCTACTTATATAGCTTATTTTTTCTTGATATACACTCGAATTTTATTGCATCGATCACATGTTTTGATATGATTTTTTTTCTACTCTCCAGTAGATTCTACAAGAAGATGCCAATATTCTGCGAGCGAAACATCGAGCGACATCCTTTCGTTATGTAAACGATCTAACATTTACGTTTCTGAATGACACCAATGGCTGCAAAGTTCACGTAATTATCTGTTTCTCTCAACACATCTCCTACCACAATATGTTCTGTTTTATATCCATAGATGTAAAATAAAATACCCTCTGAATTTCCAGTCATGTCTGTGCAGACAGCATGAAGAGATGTTGAACATAACTCGTCATAAATAGTCATAAGTTTACTGCTAATATGTCCCGAGATGATTTTCACATATGAATTATTAGTGTTTTTGTGCTTTTTATATTGATTTTGCAGTTCAGAATTTTTTTTTTACCAAAAACTTATCTACTTTAGCGTTCTACGGAAAAGTTCATTTTAATGTATTTTTCCGTCAGGGTTTTTCTTCAGCTGAGGATCCATTAGCTTATTTTGATGGGAGTACCAACTACTGCGGAATGCACACTCTTATTACGGGTACGATATTGTTTATACAATCTTACAAACTGTCATGATTCTGTTTTGGATTTATGTTGAATAATAAGAGGATAAAATTGGCCTTTATCGTACCATGTCCTTTTTCGTAATTGCTGTTCATAATAAAATGTTTTACAGCTGTCTTCTTTTCATTCATAGGTTCGTCCCTGAATCAGAGCAAAGAATATGATGAATCAACCTCTGACAAAATATGCACACAGTATTCCGAGGCAAATTGTTCCTGAAGGAGTTAATGTTTGGTCCGTAAACGAGAAAATAAACTTAAATTATGCAATTTGATTAACAATTATATACGTTGTTATTCTTATCAATAGAGATTGTTCTATCTGACGTATCCGTATACGTATCCGTATACGTATCGAGGTATGAGAGGCATCTCGATCCCGATGATTTAACCGTTGGGTAACACTTCCATCGTTTCTCGTTTGATTTCTTGTTTGATTTTAACCTCATTTATCTCAAAACAAGATATATAGTAATATTTCTAATAAAACGTATCAAGTTGCTGTTCACACCTATCATTTTATGGAAGGATTTAAAAAAAAATAAAATTAGTAAAAATGTAGGAATATTTTTATTAGATTGTTTAAAAATAAAAAAAGTTAAAAAGGGACCCCCCCTCTCTCTCTCTCACACACACACACAATATCAGGATATATTATTGTTTCATTCTCGAAGAAACCTTTACCAACACAAGACATATTCCCCATAATGCATGCAGTCAGCGCTCGTTATCTGAGACTTGATTGGACCAATTAAAATTTCGATATATCCAAGAATTTGAGTTAACAATGTTTAACTGTACGAGGTGTCAGAGATCACACATTCTAGATGAGTATAAGTTTGTCTACATCAAGCAGAAATTAAAATTGATTAACAAAGTGGAGAAGGGGGAAGCTGGGCCGAGGCAGGGAGAAACCAAAAAATGACAAGTCACCTTAGCAAAACTTTGACAATAAAAAAGTGTAGAAATTAATCAAAATCTTAAAAAAAAAACCTATCACGGGGAATGTGTGTGTGGGGGGGGGGGGGGTATGGATATTAATTTTTGAGTTCCTCTTTTCCACAAAAATAATTACGGATACATTAACTGTGAAAGATTAATATGACCATACTGCATACTCTGTGTGTATGTGTGTGTGTGTTGGGGGGGGGGGGAGTCACTGAAAATTTTCATCCTCATTTTCTTTTTTATCATTACCAACATTCTGTATATCATTTGATTATATTTGATGGACATAATTCTCCAGAAAAGCTTTGGAAAGCTGGCAATTCTGGGGTGGTTTGAAGACTCTGAACTCTCTAAATTGTTAGGTGATAGCCGTATCCGAAATTCCAGAGAGCTTGAGAAAGGATTACCATTTCCGAAAGTGATATAATTACACGCAGTTTTTGTCGTGGATGAATAACAATAGTCGACAAAAGGAGATAAACGGAGAACAATGTTTATGTCTTATACATTACTTTATATACATGTTGACTAAAGCTTACTTAATGATTTATTTATTGAAATTAAGATGACTGTCATTCTTTGTGTACAAGCGGGATCAAAACTCTGGAAAAAAATGCTGATATTTTATCAATTAAATGTTTTGTATAAATTTTATCCTTTATTCTGTTTTTTTATTTCTCTGCTACGTTGAAGCAGTCTCTTCTCTTCAGTTCTATAAACTGCGTGTTGAATTGACTCACACTTGTCCCGATCTGGGCCAAAATGCATAAATAAATAACTAAAAATAAAATAAATAAATAAAAATCAGCTGGATGGACAAGGTAGCATAGAAGAAATAGATAAATCTATTGTTTTGGCATTTTTTAGCCTAATAATTCTTTTCTTTCTTATAAAAAGAGACTTAAGATAATGAATACCCTATTCTGAAACAGTTTCTATATCAAACCATGAATTATAATACGCATGTACGACAACGAGAGAACTAAAAGGAAAAATCAAATTTAACAATTGCATTTTCATTTCATTACCTATTTTTTGTCGCCATGAAGTCTTTTCAAGTTAATGCTGCTGAAAGTACAAAATATAAAGCAAAATCAAGCTGCATGAGAATAGGCACGAAAGTAGCAATTTCAACTGGGGAGGGGAATGGGAGACATACAGGTATTTGTCAAATAGTTCATTGTAAAAAAAAAAAAAGAATGAAGAAAGTCAACCGACGCTATGACAGTTTGTGTGTGTTCCCGGGGGGGGGGGGGGGGGGCATTTTTTTTAGCATATACTCGTAAGGGTCTAGAAGCGGCTACACAGTTTTATTGATTGTGTGGATATCAACGTCTTTTGCATTTTAGTGTGTGTGTGTGTGAGTGCGGGGGGGGGGGGGGGGGGGGGGGTAAGTTTATGTCATCTAATGTAAATTACAGAATCAATCAATAAAATATCCTATTAGAAAAAAATACCATATGCTATTCTTAAACGAATGGGGCTGCTTTAAAACCAAACAAATAACGATGGAAATTATAGTAAAAAGTTTAGACATCGGGATCGAGATGCCTCTTTCACCTCGATACGTATACGGATACGGATACGTCAAAAAGAACAATCTCTAATATAAATACTTCATTTTCTTCTGAACAACAGTATATTCGAGAAGTGGTGTAAATCAGATGTGGATACAAAAAAACTACAGGGAACTTTCAGAAAGTTTGAAATCACAAAATTTTACCAAAAATCAATAGCATCAAAACGTATGGCTTTTCAACACTTTATACACTTTCAACATTTTATACATATATTCTGATTGATAATATCTATGTAGTTCTTGGAGATCAGGCCTTCCAACAATCTGTCCATTGTATCGACCATAAAACTTGCGAAATGATGACTTCAAACGAGACTAGTACTGTTGATATCCTTGTTTCATCAACTTGTTTGTCAATAGCTTACCTCGTTTTAGAAATTGTTCATACGTGGAGCATGCCCTTGCGTATCGAATCAAATGGGAAACAAAACCCCCAGGTGATAAGGGTATATTGCTACATAAGTTGGGGAAGTTAACGATTGAAAAATTGAAGTCATCACGTTTATAATAAAGCTTTAATTTGTTGTTAGGTTACCATTTATGTCTTTTTCTAGTGAAATATCCAAAGATGAAACAGATGTGTCAGACTCTGTGGTATCTTTTATTTCAAGTTCACTGGGATATATCGATATATGAATGGAAGTAACTATTGTTAATTGATAATACTTCGTCGATATATCTAAATGTCGTTTAGAAGGCCACAACAAGTGTTTTCTTCTAATGTAGAAATTTAATAAATTCTGCTTCATATGAATACAAAAATAGGTCTGCTAATAAGGGGGAGCAATTTGTGACAAACAAGTTGATGAAACAGGGGTATCAACAGTCTCGTTTGAAGTCATCATTTCGAGTTTTATGGTCGATACAATGACCTTGTCAGCAAATACAACCTATTATTAAATCAAATGCTGACTGACATTGTTCATACTAATTGTTAGGCCATTTTTTACACACTGAAGTGTCTACGGATTTTTCCGGGTTTTTTCCCGATCCTGACAAGGAGCACACGGTGGGTGTGACCGGTCGGCAGGGGATGCTCACTCCTCTATGGCACCTGATCCCACCTCTGATGTTTTAGGAAGTCCGTCTCAAACAGTTGGTCCAGCAGTACAGTCAACTGTATCCAAACCTTTCCAAACTTGCACAGTTGTGCATGGTTGTACCAGCATCAACAGCTGGTACGACTTTGTATAAATCATTACTTGCAATTATTTACATTTTATAAAAAGACAATGATGAGTATGAGTTCATTTTGATATTGTAATTAATGTAAATTATGTTTTGCAGATTGTGAGAGAGAGTTTAGTGCCATGAAGAGGATAAATGATCCATTGAAGAACAGGCTAAGCAATAAAGTGCTAAACAGTCTATTGCTTGTATCTACACAGGGGCCTGAACCTGAGGAATTTCCATTTGAAAAAGCTGTAAAAATGTGGAAAGACATGAAATGCAGACTTATCAATGTTTAACATGTTTTTACATTATTAAATTCTGTGTTAAGTGTTTAACACTCTTGATATGTTTACTCTAGATTTGATCACGATAAAATGTTGCGAATGCAAAAAAAAAACTTATTTACGCGCTCTCCTCTACAGTTAAATTTCAGATGATGGAGAATCCTGTCCGTGTTTGCTCTGCTCCCGATTTGTATTGTTTTAATGGACCATTTTTTTTTTTTTACGAACAACCAGAAATATTTTTTCAACCATAAAAATTGGATCAAGCGACTTTAACATTAAATTGAACTTAATTTTTACATAATTGAACAATAAAAATCTGGGGGAAAAGACAACTGAAAGCAACATTTAATAATCATGGATGCGCCTAAAACAAACTGATTATTTATTGGAATAGTATTGAATAACATGGATCTGTCCATTCATCTCCCCCAACCAGAGTTGCCCGTCCTCATCCAAGGCTAAAGCACACGGACAGGTCACTCCGTTCTCCTCAGAGACCAAAAAACGGAGAAACTGACCGTGTCTGTCCAGCATATGCACGACATTGTTGTCACAATCACAAATCAAAATATTGTCGTATTTATCACAGACGATGTCCGTCGGTGTAAAAATTTCACAGTGAACAACCTTTCTGATTTTACCGTTGTACTTGAACCGGTATCGTCCGTAAATGTCTAGAGATATAATGCACTTTGTGGCCCAATCCAAGACTATGACGTCACCATGACTATTAACGGCGATTTTATCAGGATCGGAATACAATTGTATATTGGCACGATCTTTGTGTAACTCTCGTAGAATCTCGCCAGATGAATTCATCTTAACGACTTTTGAGATAGTTTCACTATGTAAACTCACATACAAATCGTTTTCCCTTGAGATAAACAAACCTCTTGTCACAAATGGATGAACTTTGGTAAAATTAATCGTTTCTGTTGACTGCACGTCAAGGAATTTAATATCATTGCCCATATCCGGTGCCACTAGTAAATGTCCGTTCTCTGTCAATTTCATATCGTCAACATAAAATGGCGTTGATATTCGTTTTATTTCCCTTCCATCTTTCTGATATTGTGCAACAATGGCATCACTGTTGCAAGAAATCCAAGCAACATTATTAGAAGTTGGACATATAGCTGAGATGACACTGCTCAACTTGTGCTCAAAAGTTGAAATATGGCGGATGAATATTGGCGGAAGCTGATTGGATTCTTCTTCATCAAAGTTGAAATGTAGATCCGACAGGTCTATAGTTGCTCTCATTTTTCAATACTGTCTGCTCATTTCAAAAATTGCTTCCACATCGGAAAAACAGACACTATAAGCTTTTTTCGATAGTGCATGAGGGTCTTTATCTTTTGGACTGATAACCCATTGATGTCGCTAAGCCTGAAATCCGATTACAATACTTTAAAAACACTTGAAAACGATGACTTGAAGGCGGAGTCCGGTCATAAAGCTATAAAAGGATCATAGTAATTTGTAGTTAGTCAACATTTCTTCCTACAAACACATCAGATTTGTACACGATTGGAGATTTCAAGTGGAGTTTATAACCCTTTATGACGAAAACATTCACCTCCTGGAAGTAACAGTTTATAAATCAAAGATCTGTCAACTCAGGGGCCAAACATGGAATCAATCAGTGAAATGAAATGGCTGTTCTGTGTTTATCTTTTTTATAGGAAAAACAAAAGATTAAAAAAAAATTAACTAAAATTCTTTGTCATACATAAAATAACATCCATTAAGTTTTGTTTTAAAGAAAATATATATTCATTTGATTCTTGGAATATAAGAGTCTATCGGAAATGCTAGTCTCCAATGGAGCTTAATACAATGTATATATGTGCGTATGAATTTATTAATTCGTTGTAAATATATTGATTGCTCTTAAACCATAACATTTTAAACAGCATATTGTTTGGCTTACACAATGTGCTCAGTGAAGAATTAACGTATATTGACTTACCTTTAACAATTAAAACCTGTATATGTTTTCCAGTGAATGTAATACCATTCCAAATAAAATCAAATTACGATGTCCCTAATGGAATGCACACGCGTTGTACTAAGTGCATGTTTAAAGTTTAGGGGGTCATTTAAAAAATCCTGGTAAACAATTACTTATATAGATGTTTGTCGTCATTTAATATTTGTTGACCATTCTATAGTAAGCCCTAGCTAAAGTAAACGAGGGGCGCATATTAAATAAAAAGAATGCTAATAAAAATTTAAAATCCCCCCAGTTTGACTTTAATTTAGAGTTTGAAACAGGAAAATGATTAATTGTTTCCGTGCTGCATTCAGTGGGGAAAATCGAACACCGTTACTTATTAAATTCCTGCCTGGACGAGGATTAAAGGACAATAATGAAACTGTTACTTAGGTATCCCTCTGTTAAATGACATCGACAGAGGCTGACAAAAGACCCATTAAGTTGTTAAATTAAATGGATTCTTTCATTCAATCAAGGTGGCTTAAAACCGGTCCGGGGATACAACAGGTCTTGTTTAAATGTCAGGTCTTTTTAACCTAAACGTTATCAGGATGAAGTTAGAACTGTATGTAGATTAAAGGAGATAGGTCCCAGTGTACCTCAGTACTGATTCAGATTCAAAGAAAAACTTGCTAAAATAATTTATTTTATTTTAATTTAATTTACCTGCCTATTTATTTTGTTATTGGATATTCAAATATGTATTTAGGAAATGCGCGTTCTTCCCTAATCTTACCTAATATATTAAAGGTATAACTTTCGGGATTAAATTTAATCTGATAGACCTACCATCAAATACTTAATTGTTTGGAAAGGGACGAAATCATTTTTGTTTTTGAATGAGAGAGACACAGATAAACTTTTTAAAGATTTGATCTATTTCCAAAAACATATGACACTGCATGAAGTCAGTTCAAGAGAGCTACAAGTCTGCAGGTCGTTGAACGATTACAATCAAGAGCAATAGACAACAGATAATTTGGACAGTAGTATAAAATACATGTATACTGTATCATACAGTGTATATTGATAGGTAGTTTAAATTTTGACACACTTATTTAACACATATTCATGAATGGGCATTTGTTCACACATAAATGTATTTAAAGTAAGGGAACAAACAAAAAATCGATGTGCCATTTGCCTGAATGTACATGTTGGTTTCAAAGTGTATGTATTAACTAATAATGTATAATGGTCCTAGTCCATAAATATACATGTATAGTAAAAAGTCACAAAATAATAGTATCCTGAGGTATAGAATCTCTTTTTGGTTGCAATTATGCCTCATGATATTTCAAACTACTTCAACTGACAGGATTTTTTGAATGAAAGCACAAGATATTCCAAACATAAGCCGACAAAATTAAGCCATAAAAATAAAGCATTTCTTGTATATTTTCATGCCTTGAGAACCAAGATTTAACTGACAGTTATAGGACATGCAGTATGTTTAAGTGAAATGATTTTACGTGAACTATTGAAACTCAAATTCCAAAGGCAGATCACCGTGACAAACTTTTGATTAAATTGACACACCCAAATTAAGATTACTTAACTGACAGATTTGATGAAGTTGAGCTTTGGCCTGATGTGCTAACTATGTTGCAAGAAACATAACAATCAAAATTATAAGATGCAGGAAGTAAGTTATTAGAGCCTACCGGTATATTTGAACTGTCACCTTGAATTGCATCAAATGAAAAGATTGATAATCCTAAACCTCAGAATGATCTGCATGTAGTTGTGTACAGTAAGAAATATGACAATGAAAAAAAACCCCACTTTTTTAAAAGTAGGACGTTGTGACCTACTTTTGAGTTTAAATGTTTCACGAGCTGTCACCCCATGAGACCATGTGTCATTTGATGAGTTTTGACGAGCTTAAGCTGTATAGTCACCAAGATACAATGTACATGTATGTACAGTAAACATGTAGCTAAAAAATGTCAATAAATGGCTGCTGTATTTTCTTTAAAAAAAATCATTGTGACCTATTTTTGGATGTAGACTTCAGCACATATACTTTCGGCAGAATTTCGTGATTTTAAAATTAAGAGAGGAAGTAACAGCTAATATAGCCTAATTTTTGATCTAGGACTCTTAATACCCAATTATTAGCTATATTTGAAAACGAATATAGAAAATAAGCAAATTCAAAGAATCGTGCCCCCCCCCCCCCCCCCGCTTTCAGTGTCTTTGTGGTCGGGACGCAATTATTTATGGTATATTGTAACTGTATTGTCTGTAAGCCCTGTCTTGTCTGTCACACATACAAAAAAAAAGATTTAAATTTTTGAATTAATAAAAGTTATAGGAAGATTTAAGTATCTAATACACTCCATTAAACTTCAAAATCAAGGTCATTAGGTCAAATATCATATTAGTACAGTCCGAAATGTCTTGTCATAAGTAGTGCACATGAGGAAAATATAAGAAAGTCCTGTCTCTTCTTTTGCAAAAGCTACGCCTAACATTCAAATTTTAAATAAGTTGGTAAAACTTCAAGGTCATGAAGTCAAACGTGATACATGTACATGTAGTTAAAAACCCTATCTTCTCTCATTCAAAAGTTATGATTACTAATGTTAAAATTTTTTAAAAGGACTGTAGGTTAAATTTCAAGGTCAAGATTACAAGATTAAAAAACCATAGTAAACTCGGAAAGGTCTGGTAACAGGTAATCCACATGTCAAATATGAAAGCCCTATCTTCTCTCATTCAAAGGTTGTTAGCAATGTTAACATTTTTTAAAGTACATGTATGTCAAACTTCAAGGTCATGGCATCAAAAAATTATAGTACAATTGCAAAAATCTTCTTAAAGGTAATGTTCATGTAAAATATGAATGCCCTATCATTTCTCATTCAAAAGTTATGACCAGGGTTAAAGTTTTTGTGACAGAAGGACAGACCAAGAGATGGACACACTGACAAACAAATGAGATTCAATGTCCCCTCACTTTCGCAAAAAAGGGAAGGGGCAAAAATCACACAAGTTCACAGTGACAATTTTATCTGGTGAGGCTGATATCATGACACAGCTTGATATTCTTAATTTTTGAAGTATGTGACCTTGAAACCATTTTCTTTGCCCTAGGTTGGAGTCTTGAACAAATATGAATCTACAATTCTTGGATCCTCCCATACACACAAGCTAAAACATATACTGATTTTTGTAACTCTTCAATAGGAGAATACTTTACCTAAGAAATGACTCAAACATTACATTCACATAATATATGACATGTACATGTATTGTAAACATTTTCATTATAGATTATTTAAAGAAAAAAATCCTGATAAAAATAATCATATAAAAGAGCGAGTCTCTGAATTATATCATTAATTTTATTCAAATTTATTCTACACGGGTTATATACAGGCTTCATATGTACTATATCAGATTTTAACTCAATAAGTGTATGATATGATACCCATATGCATTCAGCTGGAAAAATTTCATTATGGACACAGTCAAGTTTACATGAAATACTAAGTATGTTTTCCTGAACTGTGATATGCAAATACATGTACTGTACATCATATAATCTGAGATGAAAATAATTCAGTTTAATAAAGAACAATAAACATAATTTAAGAAATGAGAATAACATGTATTCACTAAAAACAATTCAATAACAAAATACATGAAAATACACATTTACAAACTCAAAATCACAGCACAGTAAAGTACTGTGGGAAATACATTTTATATATACATGTAGTATTAACTTTGAACACACAGATAAGAATGAACCTTTTTTTCAGGATGCAGCTAATAAATTTTGAAAAAAAAAATAATTAAAAAAAAAACAGTGACATGCTTGTTGTTCTTAACAATCAATAGGAAGTAACTTCAGTCTTGGAACGTTGAAATGAAAGACCATTAGAAGCTCCATGTACACATTTTATGTGGGTAATTTGTGTAGACTAGTAGACGGTACAGTTTGCTGAGGAGTATTGCGTACACACACTATCGCTTGTCTTCTCTGAGTAACCACTAACTTTGTCCAGGCCTGATCCTGTTATGTACAGTAGAAGACCCAATGTAATCAATGTAACCAATGTAATCAATGATATCAATGTAACCAATGTAATCAATGTAAACAATGTAATCAATGTAACCAATGTAATCAATGTGATCAATTTAACCAATGTAACCAATGTAATCAATGTAACCAATGTAATCAATGTAACCAATTTAATCAATGCAATTTCTGATGTCTCTATTGCAAATATTTCATTGATATACTGTACTATATGTCATCAGTAGTTCTTTTTGTATATGGAAAGGACCATCTAAGTATAAAACATATGTCCAATGCTTTTGCACAAGACATAAGATTATGTTCAAAATAATAATTTGTCTCTCTTGCTTTTGTTCGGGTTGACCACTAAGAAATTCTATTTCCACTTACCAGTGATTAAGTTGTGGAGATTACAGTAGTTAGTGCCATAGTCTAACAAAGCATACCAAGTCTCGGATGTGGAAAATCCCTGCAATATACATCATACCCAGAGAATTTGAAAAGGGGCACAACTCTCACATAATTTATGATTAAAAGAAAATTTGATAAAACATAAATTTGAAACGGTTATACACATGCAAGACGTGTAGTCATAAATATCAATTTCAACTTGACTGGCAATTCAAAATGATATACTAGGCTTATGTCACACTAATTCAGTGGTACTGTTTACAATTTCTGTATTTTACTTTTGACATATAAGGAGAAGGAATTGTAGACCAAGTATGGTATTCTATCTCACCTCTAATAATCCAAATTTTCAACTACATTAATTATTTGAGAATAAAATCAGTCTACATTTCCTAAATGCAGTTTGCTCATACCCATTCAAATTCTGATATTGCTTCTCCAAACTACATTTATTTACCCATGCAGTCAAAATATAAAATTCAGGAAAAGTATTTAAAAAAAAAAAAAAAAAAAAAAAAAAACTTCTTGACCAAAGATTTGACTTCACTCACCTGAACATTGCATTTTGCTGTGGAACTTGAGGGCAAAAAGGTGAAGGTCAAATCATCAACATAGTGTTTTACAGGAGTCTCGTGTTTTGCCTTCAGTGTGTTGCCTGATTCACTCACAAACTGTTAAATTCAAAACACATTTTCAAAGTTTATATTATGGTTTTAATTTTGAGGTTAGACTTCTTAAGTAAGTGAGAATGTTAAATAACGTGTTATCAAATTTAAGCAGCGTGTCGGTTTTGTACATGTTTGTGTTGACAAACACACCTCATAGTCATGTAAAGGAAAAACACATTACAAACTCACATGACTGTAAACCATACGATGCAATGTTGAAAATATTAGAATTGAGTTCAACATATGACTGAGAAGGAAAGGTCACAACCTGTCGGTATGATCCCAAGTTACAGGTGTTTTGTTACAATTATGCATTTATATTTTGCCAGAGTGACTATGCCCTTATAAGCACCCATAGAAAGCATGAAAAGAAAGCATATGTGACAGTAACAGGGTAAATTCTTAATCTACTTGGATTTAAACCTGGGACCTCTGGCATGCCAGTCCAGTGCTCTACTGCTCTACCAGTGCTCTACTGATCGAGCTAAATGGTTAACCCACTAGCTAAAGCTAATAGGGAGCTATGCATCACACACAACCCTGGACAAAGTAAGCTAGCTTACACTTTTCTAAACTCCTTGAGCATTATTTAGATGAATTCAGAAATGTTGTGAGTCGTACCTTGTACAGACATTTCTCTCCTCCATTTGCACAGTTGTCTGCTGTTGTCCATTGACTGATTTGACCTTTGATCTTGGTCTTCACATCATTACAGGAGATACCAAATGTCCTGATCGAATAAACAAATTGTACAGATTTAAACAGATATGCTCCTTAAGGCCAAAGTTTTTATTTTTTTTGGTTTACGATTTTCTGTCTCAAAAAAATGCATTGGGTGGTCGAAAAATAAAAATAAAAATAATTTAGGATTCAACAATTTCATTTTAAAATACCAGCAATTTTTATTTTAATAAAAATAATACACATCAATACACGTAGTACTTTTAAGTTTTATTGTCTAGATCACATAACTCTTTTTATTTAATTTTAATTCATTTCTAACTTTAGACTGAATGTCATTTTCATTTAGTTCTGATTTTTGTATGTCAATCAGTACTTGGTTCATGATGTTCAACTTCTTTATATGCTCTTCAGTGATATGTGATGTGTTATAAACCTCAGTACCCCCACAAACTAAAAATATGGATCCAAATTTAAGTTTAATTTAGATTGAAGAAAAATACAATTTAATTGTTTAACAATATTATAAGTAATTGACGTTGAAATAAAGGTTATAATAATTTGATCATGCATGGATTTATCTCCCTATTTTGGGAAATGCATTTTTGGGGAATGGGTAAACAAATTATTGTCTATTTGATGAAATTGGAAAAAAAATTTAAAATGTTGCTAAATCATGTATTCAGGGGTAATTCATTTAACATTTCAGCATGAACTCTAATTTGGGCAACCAAACGACAATTAAATATGATCCATCTTCATCATACAAGATCAATTATGAATAATACACTAATAAAAGTAAAATGGACTTCAATGAGTATAAAGTATTTATAAAACTTATGGTAGTACATGTACATATGTGTATGAGATTTCAATTTAGGTCATTATAGTGAATCTGTTTCTGGAGATTATAAACCTCCTGCAAAAAGTATACTAAGTACACATTTTCTATAAGTCCTCTTTTAATATGTATTAATGCATTGAAAATATATTTTTCTACCTGAAATAATGCCTAAAGTCCTAACCATTCACTCGCAGATCAATTGAGTAGGTGGAAATAACTTAATAAATCTATATAATTACACAATATCATCATTTTTAGAAAAACGGAGGAAATTCGGATTAAAAGTTGGCGATGTTTTTACAGTGTTTTTAAACATGTGTTATGACTGTAGCTTTAATAAATGAGTTAAATAGATGAAAATTAAAGACAATCTGACAATTTTACTTTGTTTTTTTCTCCAAGATAATTAAAAATAAAAGCATTGTTCGGTGTTCACCAACTGGGAAAAATACTGCCAAATTGGGAAAAACTGAACTCATTTTCAATTGGGAATGGGGCCGAATTTCGGCCCCTGAGAAGGCACTGATAAATCCCTGTTATCTATAGGTGTATGTCTGTTAGGTCGATCAGGGTTGGGCATACACTTCTCAATATTACTCAATACTGTATGAATTTAGCCAATTGAGACATTGCAATTGGAGAAAGGGATCATGCATCCAAGATTTTATTCACTTTTCCATGCAGAAAAAGTTCTTTAAGTGTGTGTCATTGCTTTCAGTGAGGAATTACCTTGTTACATGACAGAACCGCCATTTTTGGTTTGCACATGTGTTTATTTACGGTCACCTAAATGTTTGTAAAGTTCTATATAATTTATAAACGCTTATTTGACTAAGATGCATTCTAAAATTTAAAACCCACCAGCTCAGCTGAGAAAAATCCGGAAAAATATGTCAGAAAAAGACATTATTTTTATTTTCATGATTGGTGAAAATTAGGGTCGGCGGAATCGTAAACCAAGTGAAAAAAAAACTTTGGCCTAACTTGAGAATAGAAATAGAATATACATATGCATAGAAAAAAACTTTGTTAAAGTGTTTTCCTTGGTAGAGTAAGATACATGGTTATATCTTTATTGTATGCATGCCTGCACAAAGGAAAGCGCATTCCCATTTTCAGAATCCCTATTATTAGATTATTACAGTGTGTAAGGCTTATAATGCATATTCCGTCCCTAACAACTGGTTCAATTTACATTGACCTTTGATCACTGTTGACCTACTTATACTTAGTGAAGTGAGTGCATTGGGGAGAGCCAATATTTATTTTATATACTTTGACACAACATACTTTAGCATTTACCAGGGTATTGTTGTTTATCTTTCTCTATTTCCCATATACACAGTGATTTGCTCACTAACATATGTTTTTTTTTTATGATTTATTGTATTTTTCATTATTTTACAAAAAACATGAGAGAGAGAGAGAGAAACTGATTCAATTAAATAAATTCTTCCATGACTCCCAGGCCTCATCAAATTTTTCTTGTTCATTATTTTTCTTTGCTATTACTTTATTAGTGTCATATAGTACTTTAATGGAGGACATCAACCCATTCAAAGAAAGAGTGTTATAGACACATTTCATACTATAGATAAAATACTTTATTTGTAGAGCAATAAGTGTTTTCACTTTTTCTGATTTCACATGTGATCCCAATATAAAGTCTTTTTTTTTTAATATGGTAATGTGTTCTGCCTTGACCATTCAAGTTAAATGGGAAATAACTGAATTAAGCGATCAGTGTGTGCATGATTGTTTGACACCTACATGTTTTCAAACTTAATGGTAACATAGTGAATTCTTTCATGTAATATTGATGCTGATTTCTTCAAAAGAGTCACTGTGGCTTTGAAGGTATTGTGATCATGTAACAAACTTTGAGAGTTGAACCTTATGTGGCCAGAGACCCCTGCACTTTCATGGGGAATTTCTGAAGAGGTACCAGATGTTGAATGAGGAGGGGTTAATCACTGTCACAACAGAAATAATCTGAGATTCTTCTGACTCTTAATTATACTTATCAAAGGTGGATCCAGCACCCCCATCCCCCCCCCCCCAGTCTGAATTTTTTTTTTTTTTTGAAATGCATGTATGTAGAAGTTATATGTGAATTATCCTAAAATCAAGGAAAAACACCTCTTATTTGTAAGAATTTGTCAGCTTTCGGGGCTTTGCACCCAGACCCCCACCAGGGCTTAATTTGCCCTGGATCCAAACTGCGGCTTCAATGCAGCCCCCAGACCCCTTGCCTTCAACTACTAAACATGCTAAATAAAGGGTCATTCTTGTATAATCATATCTGGGAAAATTAGAAAGATATACAGTTGCGCATAAAACATTTATCATGTTTGTTGAGTGATTTTATTTTCCTGTTAAACACTTTGCAAGTCTGTCAAAATATGATATCAGTACCGATGCATTAAAATGTAAACAATTTAACACAAACCAGTCAATTTTACAAGATGCATGAAGAGGGCCCGACACTGCCAGTCCTATGACAACTCCCACAACTGCTAGCACCAGAACACCAGAGATTCCCATTGCTAACTTTAAATACCACGGCTTTCTTGTCCAACAAGAGCAACAAATAGACCTGGGACGGCGACCTCCTAGAAATTTATATCCAGTCTTATCTGATTGGCCACGAGACATTAGAGATAAGAGTGTTGTATAAAGTGAGTTGCGTTAAACTATTAAGAGTTAGTTTCCGAGCGATTGTCACGAGATTCTACTTTCACTTTGAAATTCTCTCTCTCTAGAAAGTTCACACTAATGGATGGTAAAAATCAGAGACATTCCGAAAAGAAACCAGTTGGTTACACAACAAAACAACATGTGACTGATGGGGTTCGTTGTGGGTTGAAGGAATATTTTTTGCTGGAAACTAAGACATGAGGAATGTAATTTCAATAATGAAATAGTACAAAATTATTTTTAAAAATGCTTATAAAAAGGTGTGAAGACTAATGCAATTTTTATAAAATCATTTTAAAATGCCGGGGAAAGGTAAATTTTCCCAAAAGTTTTTTTTTTTTAGGAACTTTCATTTATAATTCAACACCTGATCATGTGAGGGTATGTCTACAGAAAAGAAAATGAAGAAACTTTGTTTTCTCTTGGCACTTGTATTCGTCGTTGCTTCAGCTGTAAACTGTCAAAAATATAAACCAACATGGGAGAGCATTGATTCTCGACCAATACCAGCGTGGTATGACGATGTTAAGATCGGGATGTTCATAAATTGGGGGGTTTACTCGGTTCCCTCATGTACCAGTGAGTGGTTCTGGTGGTACTGGAAAGGTCAGCCGCACGCGGACGTCGTAGAATACATGAAGAAATTTTACCCACCAAACTGGACTTATGCAGACTTTGCTAAACAATTCCGAGCTGAGTTTTATGATGCCAATAAGTGGAAGGACATCATCGTTGCCTCTGGTGTAAAGTGAGATGGGTTTTCTTGTATTTTTGCGTTTTTTATATAGTGTACATTTGTAAGTACATTATTATACATCTATTTACTGGGCTCAAGGGCTACATGCATTTTTTTCGGACCCAAGAACAAAACTGTTTCCCTGAGGCCATCGATCAGGCCGAAAGCAAACAGTTTGGTTTGAGGGTTCAGTAAAAAGCATTTTGGCCTAGAACCCAGTCAAAGAATGTTTTCTTTTTCTCTGGCATACTTTGCTGTGGCTTCCATGTTTATGATGAAACTGACACAATTTTATGCAATTTTCGTTTACCCACACCAGAGCACACTGGTCTGCTGAATATTTAAAATTCAGTCAACTGTTGAAAACCAACAAATGCAAATAAGATATAGCTGATTCTGCCTATATTGAGGCATCAATATTAAAAATTAAATATTAAAAAGCATTATCGTGATCCAACATCTCCTCAACATTCCAACAGCTCACAGTGTGAGCGGTCCAACACAGAATTTTTTTGTGGACCGCTCAGTAAAACGCAATCTGAATGTACAGTCAATTTCCTAACCTAATAAAAGAAACAGTGGCAAATTATCTGCATGTAGCCTAATATATTATGAGATACTAATCTTTGATCAGTTAACGAATGAACAATAAATCAGACTAAGTCCTCTGGGGCTTCCTTTTCTATGTTTAAAACTTATGTAAAGGTCTATGTTTATAGATTAAAATAATGTAATAAACAACGACTAGTGAGCTTTGAAAGTATAGTGAAGCTGTTAGATTATCATCAAAGCTTCTGATGTAAATTAAAGGTGTTTCATTATTTGTGTAAGGCAAGCACATGAAAAAAAGATTTTTTAAAACAAGATATGTTTGTGAAACGCTGATTCCTCTTATATGGCAGCTCATGGCAAAGGTTCAGGTTTCTCAAATGCAAGTCAAACTCCAAGGTTAAGAGATCAAAATTGTTGGTACCCAAAGAAAGGTCTTGTCACAAGGAATACACCTGTGAAATATGAACATGATGAAATCCCTAGCTATAACTGGTCCGTAGTTATGCACAAGATTAAAGTTTGGCAAAAGAAGGTTAAACTCCTAGGTCAAGGTTAAATAGTCAAAATTAATGGTGTCCAAGGGAGTGTCTTGTCAAAAGAAGTACACTGAAGTACATGTATGAAAGTGCTAGCACCATATCCATTCAAAGATTATGGCCAAGGTTAAAGTTTTTAAATAGGAGGTCAAACTCAAAAGGTCAAGGTCAAACTGTCAAAATTGTTTTTATTAAGGGGAAGGTTTTGTCACAAGGAATACACACACAAAGTATTAAAGCCCTAGCACCAACCGTTCAAAAGTTATGGCTAAGGTTAAAATTTCATAACATTTTGTGAAAGTGGGTCAAACAAGGTCAAGAGGTCAAAAATATTGGTACCCAAGGAAAGTCTTGTCACAAAGAAAACATATGTAAAATATGAAAGCCATAGCTCCAACCAATCAAAGGTATGGGCAGGATTAAAGTTTTTGCGCACAAACAGATAAACAGACAGACAAAGCAAAAACTATATGTCCCCGAATATAGCTTTGATTACGGGGGCATAAAAAGCAAGTCATTTACATGTACATTGCAACATTTTTCTTCATATTATACATATAAAGGGATTTGCATATGCATTGCTCATATTGGTCAAGCTTTTTTTTGTACTAGATATGTTGCTCTAGCCTCCAAACATTGTGATGGGTTTAGCATGTACCCAACAAATGTGACATATCAGTGGAATTCACGAGATGTTGGCCCGAAGCAAGACCTTGTAGGTAAGTGTCTTAATTTGCTATGTCTAAATGGGCCTCTTTTGTGTATCAGATCAGGCATACAACATATACAATGCAGTAAAACTGATGGCCCCTACATGTATTTCCAAATCTTAGCTGTAACATGTTATAGGTGTCTTTGAAGTATGTAATTAAATGTTAACAGATTAAGGAAAAGGCCAGACTAATGACTAAATGTAATTTTCTAAATAAAAAATGAAAATATTAACAATTATACATGTCGTACTACATTGTACAACTGCACTTAGGTATCTCAAACATGGATATCTTGAATACCATGTACATGTATATGTCAAAGTGATTTGGAAGTCCCTAAGCACTTTTTCTGTAAGTATTTTACTCTCAATATCTTGAACCTTTGAATATGTCGAAGTTTTTTCTCGGTCCCACCGAGTTCAAGATAACAAGGTTTGACTATATTTCCTAATTTAATTGATAAATGTTACAAAGCTGGTATATTTCTGTGATTGAAAACTATTTATAGGTCCCTTGAAGGAGGCATTGAAGGGAACAGGGATCAAGTTCGGGATCTACCATGCCATGATTGAGTGGTTCAATCCTATATGGCTGGCAGACCAAAAGAATAACTTTACAACTCAAAGATATGTCAAAGTAAGTACTTGTAAATTACTTTTGTGCTCTAGCTGTGTTATGCAATAATTTTATAGGAGGAACTTAATTTTCACCTTTCTTCTGTAGTTTTGCACTGATATTATGATCAAATACTTTTGATTTTAACCTGTTTGCATTCCTACCTTGCTCTCTGTCTATCAGATAATTTTTTGGACAGACTTCATGTTTGGTCAGGAAAAAAAACTGTTATCATTATGATGGATCCTCTCAGTCTCCTGCCAATTTCTTACCTATAGATGATAGTTAGAAGTCAAAAAGTCATATGCATTTTCTCTACAATAGGAATTTGCCACTAACTGAGGGATAGCACGTGGTTTGCACAGATAAATATCATAGAAGTCAAAGTATATATATTTAATAAAGAAAAGTGTACATGTCTTATTATTCTACATTGTATTGTATAGGATTATATCCACCCTCAACTTAAAGAGATAATCAACACGTACAAACCAGATCTTCTATGGAATGATGCCTGCTGGTTAGCCCCAAGTTGGTACTGGAATTCCACCATATTCCTTGCATGGTTATTCAATGAAAGGTATGGGCTTAATGTGTGCAATATCACATACATGTATATGCTACATTGTCACTTTGTTATATGTCAGTATGACATATACTTGAGAGGCTAGTTTAAGAAAGGGCCATCATCTGTTCAGTCAAAAAGAAAATGAAAACCAATGCAATCAAGTTCTGTTTAACACAAACATGGAAAGAGGCCTGGTATTGGTTGTTATCTGATACACATTTTTTTCATTTTTTTTGTTTTTTGAATTAAGTCCTGTCAAAGATAACATTGTTGTGAATGATCGATGGGGATATGACTGCTTCTGCAAACATGGAGGGGTGTGGACATGTTCTGATCGTTTTCATCCTGGTACGAAGTGAATTTTTTCTAATTAATTTTTAAATTAGATAAATACGTCTTGTAATCATGGCAATAAACCTGGACCATTAATGTATTTTTAGGACATGTTATGCCACATAAGTGGGTCAATGCCATGACGATAGACAGAGGTTCATGGGGATTCAGAAGAAATGCTGACCTGAGTCAGTATTACTCCATAGAAGAACTCTTGGAGGAAGTGATTTACACCATAAGGTAAAGTGATTTAAAGCCAGAAACACTGTAGATATGGAAATTAGAATATATAGTGGTCATTTAAAACATTTCTCTTCATGAAAGGAGTTCTAGACTAACAGCTTTTCATTGCATGGTCTTAAAAATATAAACCTGATTATTTTATTAGCTTTGGTGGGAACATTCTGATCAATGTTGGACCAACAGCTTGGGGGACCTTTGCCCCAATCTACGAGGAGAGATTCCGTCAGCTGGGGTCATGGTTGAAAGTGAATGGAGAAGCTATTTATAAAACAACACCTTGGACTCATCAAAATGACACAGAGTCCAACAGAGTATGGTAGGCTTTCTAAGAAAACTCAATAATGACTCCAAAAAGTACCATTTACAGCAATAATGACCTAGGAATCATTGCACATGGGGTATAATGACCCAGTCATTATAATTAATGACAGCTAAAAATGCAGATCTGTTAATCTAAATTCCATTCAAATTTAAAAATTTATGCATACAGTAAAGACTGTTCATTACAAAAGATGCCGTTATAAAAATATGTATTGTCTCTTTATGATACGGAATATAATTGTCCTAAAATAGATGCTTAATAAAAAATTTATCGTTTTCATTGAAACTTTCGTTACAATGTCAAATTCAACGAATGCAGACTTGGCTCTTTTGTACAGTAAAAGTCTGCGCCAGATTGTCATCGTACTGTTACTGACAATCACAGAGTGTTTTAATAAATCGGCGGTGCAAAAACTTACAAGACTTGCAGGCGAAAAGTTAACAACTTCACTAGCGAATCCCGATCCCGATGAAACACTGATAATAACATTCATAAGTCTAATACACAATTGATTTATTATTTTAGTAATTAAGCCTACAAAAATTGTCTTAACTTATATCGGTATAATAAAACAATTGATTACCCCTTATGAGATCAACATGGTGAAATAAGGACCCTCCACCTGGCCCACTCGCTGACGTGACCTGACCTCGACCGCTACGCGGCCTCGGTCAGGTCAGGTCACCTCGTGGGCCAGGTCTCAGGTCCTTATTTCACCATGTTGACCTCATAAGGGGTACATGTAATTAATTGTATAATATTCACCAATTGTTGCATTAAAAGTACATACCAAGTTTTCCCCTCTTTTTTGTTCCCATGCCGGGATAGAAAATACTTTGCGACATAGCATCTTTAAATTTTTTTTTTTATTTTTCTTGACCAAAAACTTTGGCAGTATTTCATTTGTACCTTATGCGCTGGAAACTTAACACTTGGTCATTAGTAAAGTGAAGATCAGGGAATTATATAAGATCAAGGACTAACAATGAGGTCAAAGCTCAGGAAAATATGTCCAAGAGCATTAGCTAATGCAGAGGTTTTATAAGGGGTTATTGATATCCATACACAAAAAATTATTTTTGATTGGATTTGATGTCTTGAGTTCTTTTCATATATTTGCAAGCCAAGGATTTTTATTCTGTAACACTTTCCTCAAATCCTTGGCAGATTATGCAATTAAATCTTTGGCAGACAATAGCAACTTCTGATGAGTGGACTGAATTTTAATATGACATGACAGCAGCTGTCTTTTCATTGGTATGAAGCTTTAGTTTTAGTGGTTAGAGTTATGCCCCTTTATCATTGCAAAAAGTAGAAACTGTGGCATTCCAAGGCCACAAAGGGCCATTTGTAACCACAAGAAAAGGTTTCATGGCATATAATTCATATTAAAGAGAGAGAGAGAGAGAGAGAGAGAGAGAGAGATGTGTTTGGTGACCTTTTTGGGCAATTGGCCTTCTTTTAATGGACTGTTTTACTTTTATTTATTTTATTTTTTTTTTTAATTTGTAGCTTAGCTGTAGTGTGATTTCTAATTTTCATAGGTACACAGCATCAAAGGGAGACAAGAAAGTGATTTACTCTTTGTTGCTGGATTGGCCGTTAAGTAATGAAGTCTTATTGGGGTCACTGAAGGATATTCCTGTCTCTGCAGTGACTCTGCTGGGGTCAGATGCAGTGATGTACTTTTTCCAGGAGGCTCATGGACTTCGAGTTTTATTCCCCGTCCTCAATATACGTAAAATGCCTTGTCAGTGGGCCTGGGCTTTGAAAATAACACTTAAATAGGAATTGATACAAATTAGCTCAGGTGATTATATGCTTTTTTCTTTTTGAACATGTTAAAGCAAAATACTTCTTGTAAAATAATAAATTTTAATTTATATTACCAGTAGTTTTGTCAAGAAAAAGTTAATATTCTATTTTTGGGCCAGTAAATATACTAAGCAACAAAATCACTTTTTTTTTTTTTACATTTAAGTTGTCAGCATGGTCATATGCAGTTATGTTGAAATTAATTCAGTTTTTAGAAGAGACATTAAGGATCTAAATATTAAGAATTTTTATGACAAATGGCTAGTACTTATATGATATACATGTAGAGGTTGATATGCTCACCTAGACATCTAGAGACAATGAGTGTCATTTGTTTGCCGTGAGATCAAATTATCTCTATGGAAACAATTAATTTTAGAAATTGAAAATATATTTGTGCATTTATTTATTTTTCTGTGTTTTTTTCTTAGTCTAGTTTTTCTTCATTAAAAAGAAAATTAACACTTCAAATAATATTTGTATTAATGATACAAGCCACATACATGTATGTATATTTTAAGGTTTCATGAAGAACATTCTTTCATGTAAATTATTGTATGTGTATTCATTAGTGTATTCAAAAATTAGAAGATACTAATGGGCAAGATGGTGCAATTATGATCTGGCACAAAATAAGATTGTTTACATCCATCATATCTACATGATCTAGTTGTAGTACCATATTTTGGCCATGCTCATTGATAATCTTGAGTTTATATTAAAGATTAATGCACATAGACAGTGCATAAGGTATTAATGAAAATGGATCCTAATAATTTAAGTACACAGTAGAGAAATAAACTTATGAAATGTAAACATATAATTTTATGATACCATCAAAGGTATTTCTATTGTATTCCATTTTATATTACTCATACTTTTTATATTGTGTATGATATACACTAGAAAAATATATACATTCAATATAATATGTTTTTCTTTTAAAAGTGTGTTCAAAGCTACAGCATTTATAATACCATTACACACACAGGGATGTCAAAAATTAAGTCACAAATGTTGAACTCTTTTCAAGTGTAACATAAACAAAAATCAAATTTCATGCTCATGTTGAACAGTTACGGCTGCTCCTTCAGTATAAACTTACCATAAACAAGATCGATATCATTTTAAAGACATGCATATTCAAAGAACCGATATTTTATCAATCTACCATGAAATTTAAAAATGTAACTATATACGCAATGAATTTCAAATTTTGGATGTTCATCGTGTCATAACAAGGATGACTGCATTATTCAATTTGCCAGCACAGCCGTCCCTATTATGACATGATGAACGTCCAAAATTTACAATTCAGTGCTTAAAAAGATCATATTTAGAATGAGATACATAGATTGTAAAGTGTTAACTGTAGAATATAAATGTGGAAATTATACGATGCCTTCTTATTCTTGAATGAAGATGCTCTTTGTGCTGTACTGTAGAATCTTCTACAAATACACATGTATAAATTTGAATTATTAAAAATGTATTTAAAAAAGCCCCAATTATTTGCTCAATTTTAATGCAATCACTGCTTAAAGAAATTGATATATCTGTATACACATTTTTGTTTTTCATATCAAAACAATGCTTTGGCATGATTTAATTCTTATTAAAATTTTATTTGCTATCTGTCCTGTTTTGTGAATGATATATATATGTTAAGTAGTTGAGATTTTATGTCCTCTTTGTTGCAAAGCTGCTGAGGGATATTGTGATGCTTTTATTGTTTATCATTTCTGTAACTCTTAAAAATACTTCCTAAGAGAAAAGAGATAAACATACAAAAAAGTTCAAAAATCAATGATGACATATTGCATTTGAGAATCTGTACGTCATATAACAAGGGGGACAATCATTTTATGTTACATGTACCTCTGTAGCCATATTTAGATTTTATTTGACACAAATTTCATAATGTAATATTTTTTAGTATATATACAGTGTACTTTTATTTTTGATGTCATTACATGAATGCCATCAAAGAAATGATTGAAGTCATAGAATTTTCTGTGTATTTTTAATATATTCGATCAGTGCATATTATCTATTCAAGATATATTACTAAAGTCAGGTACTCTTCACACAATTGCTCCGAAGAAAATAGTTCCATTCATGATTAGTAGATACAACATTACAACAAATGTTAAGAATAATGATGTATATTTAATACGTTAAAGAAAACAAAATTAACGTAAAAAGATTTTAAGAAAATCACTTTTCCCCAGAAAAGGAAATAAAAAGTTTTCATATTCCTACGCTCTCTGCCTCCTCAGTCTTTTTCACGAAAATATATAGGTCATCCTTCGATTGATAGTGATAAATCTTTTCACCAATTATATAACTGTCATGATTATTGTTCGTTAATTGCCGTATATTTTCTTTTGAGTGAGAATGTTAATCATTAACTGTGTGTGTTTTTTTTTCTTCTCTTTTTTTAAATAATGGAATGGTTATTATGGTTAAACACCTGCAATCGTAACTTCTCGGCAAAGCAACGTGATTTGCCGAGCTCGTCGGAAAGGATCTTCGCACGTGTGTAAACCTAGTCTATTTGGTCTTGCAAGCACAGGTATGTGCACCGTTCGCTAGTGACGCTTAGATCATGTAGACTGGGTATCAGTATTTGCTACGGACATGAAGAGGAACTATACACCAGTTTCATAACAAGTGCAGGTTTTTTACTCAAGCCCTAGACTGGGCTAGAGGGACTGAGTTATCTAAAACGATGCTAGGTCATTGATCTACTCAGTTTAAAAACACGAAAATATACTATTTTTGTAATTAAAAACATTTCTAGAAACAAAAATGAAGTTTATCTTCAAAACGTCTCTATATTCAAAATCTATATAAAGTGTTAAATGTCGGATTTTATTCCATGACGAAGGAATGTTCACAGCCCCAACCGATCTTGCGCTTTCCTTTGCGTTTAACAAGGGCCGTCAATGCATCTCTAGACGAGTTCATTGATTACTCTTGTTGACCCATCTTTAACATATGCCTATACTTTGAGTAATAGTACTTTAATAGCACAAAATTAAAAAATAAATTAAAATCTATCCTTGATAGATCTATAGTTTTGCTATTTAAAAAAATGGGCTATCTTTGATCTTTGCTTGGACTTGTTTCGAATTTTTACAGAAGATTCTATCATTGGAAAGTTAGATGGTACACATGTAGCACAGGCCCATAGTACGCGGGATTATTTTGGAGCCCCCCCCCCCCTCACTTTGAAAACGTTGCTACAGGCCTGTAACATGCTATTTGGATTAAATATTCCTGAAAATGAGTGAGCTGTTAAATACATCTTTAAAATTATACGGTTAATTATATTTAGTCTATGTTCTATGTGAAATTAAAACTATTTTTTTAGGCATCTGCAACGTTGTGATAATAAAAGTCACTACACGCATGTAACGTTATATATGTACATGCAGTTTCCTTAGTACATGCATATTTTATTCAACAAAAGATGTTGAAACTCAGTAGCCTAAATATTATGTCATTTTAGGATATTTATGGCCATTGTATAGTTGACTTTCTACAGCTTGAGTATCTCTGACGTTTTATCAGTAAATAGTTTTTTTTTTTAATTAGAAATCATCTGAGCACAATGAAAATTCGAATAAATTAAAAGCCGAATATCTTGGATATGGGGTAACCCATATCTATTCTTGTTCAAAGATATTTATAAAGTATAGATGATGTCTTCTATGTAAAACATAATTATTACTGATTTACATTTTAATTTGATTTTTTTTCTGCATAGATCTGCACAAATCCAAAGAGAAATCCATATGGCCATGTATGTATATACTGTACGTCAAACTGTGTTAAACCTATCGTGCATAATTAGGCATGTATGTGTATCATGCATGTACATGCCTAAATTTTTGGCAGAATATTGTGGAAACTATAAGTAAAGAGCACCTGTGGACTTTTCAGCCACATACATGTGTCAATAGAGAGGTTAAGCATTTGACCGTGTGCGTCTACGTGTACGTGTAAATCTAGAAGTGTTTTTACAAGTACACGTAACTAACATCGTGTTCTGTTTAACAATCTGTACGTGTAGCGGTACATGTAAAACTTCAATTCAGCAAGTCACTTTACAATCCATTTGTATCAAATAATTCTATGGCTTTGATTAAAAAAAATACAGAGATGTACGTAATAAACTCTCATCATCACAACAAACACCGCCTGAAAAATATATATTCTATAATTTGGGTTTAAGAAGCTACACTTTCTTTCCTACGTGTACCTGGTACATATGAATCTACACGTTGTGTACAACTTGTATAATTACGCGCTATTTATAAAGTATAGATGATGTCTTCTATGTAAAACATAATTATTACTGATTTACATTTTAATTTGATTTTTTTTCTGCATAGATCTGCACAAATCCAAAGAGAAATCCATATGGCCATGTATGTATATACTGTACGTCAAACTGTGTTAAACCTATCGTGCATAATTAGGCATGTATGTGTATCATGCATGTACATGCCTAAATTTTTGGCAGAATATTGTGGAAACTATAAGTAAAGAGCACCTGTGGACTTTTCAGCCACATACATGTGTCAATAGAGAGGTTAAGCATTTGACCGTGTGCGTCTACGTGTACGTGTAAATCTAGAAGTGTTTTTACAAGTACACGTAACTAACATCGTGTTCTGTTTAACAATCTGTACGTGTAGCGGTACATGTAAAACTTCAATTCAGCAAGTCACTTTACAATCCATTTGTATCAAATAATTCTATGGCTTTGATTAAACAAGAATAGATATGGGTTACCCCATATCCAAGATATTCGGCTTTTAATTTATTCGAATTTTCATTGTGCTCAGATGATTTCTAATTAAAAAAAAAAACTATTTACTGATAAAACGTCAGAGATACTCAAGCTGTAGAAAGTCAACTATACAATGGCCATAAATATCCTAAAATGACATAATATTTAGGCTACTGAGTTTCAACATCTTTTGTTGAATAAAATATGCATGTACTAAGGAAACTGCATGTACATATATAACGTTACATGCGTGTAGTGACTTTTATTATCACAACGTTGCAGATGCCTAAAAAAATAGTTTTAATTTCACATAGAACATAGACTAAATATAATTAACCGTATAATTTTAAAGATGTATTTAACAGCTCACTCATTTTCAGGAATATTTAATCCAAATAGCATGTTACAGGCCTGTAGCAACGTTTTCAAAGTGAGGGGGGGGGGGGGGGCTCCAAAATAATCCCGCGTACTATGGGCCTGTGCTACATGTGTACCATCTAACTTTCCAATGATAGAATCTTCTGTAAAAATTCGAAACAAGTCCAAGCAAAGATCAAAGATAGCCCATTTTTTTAAATAGCAAAACTATAGATCTATCAAGGATAGATTTTAATTTATTTTTTAATTTTGTGCTATTAAAGTACTATTACTCAAAGTATAGGCATATGTTAAAGATGGGTCAACAAGAG